AAATCCCCTCCCCCCCCCAAAGCCAAAAAATGCAGATGCCGGATTATATTTTTCAAAAATATTATTGTAATATTCATTTATATTTGTTAATATTTATTCTTATCTCATATATACATATATATATATATATTTTATTTATCACATTCATCTACTAAGTTATTTTATCAATCAATTTCGATTTCAAGTTTTCCTTGGCGTAATTTACCTATTATTTTCAAATTTTAGTGGCGTAATATTTATCTAAATTTCTAATAAAATAATAATTATCTCTGAAACTCCTTGTCCAACAGGGAGAAAAAAATTGCAAGCTTGTCCAACGAGATCGAGTCTCCGCCACAGTAACAGCTATTTTGGAGTTAGAAGAGCTGATTATTAATGCTATTACTGAAATATCACAATGGCTTGAAAGAAATATTTCCTCAGAAACAAGAAAATTATTGGATTCAATACTTATTCCAAATTTTTTTCTCATTAGAATGTATTATTTAATTATACAACTATTTTATGTAATACTTTTAAAAACATAACATTGACTTGATTAAGAAGATGAGAATAGCGGAGAGCGTTTTTTATTAGAACTCAAGGAAATAGAGCTAGTGTTGTTGAAGAATTTCATATTTTATATGTTATTGTTGAGTCAAAAGCAGAGCTATACGTGTTAAATATTTGTCCCCCTCGACTTGCAGCAAGCAAGCTCATCATCAAAACATTAATATAGGATCAGTAGAAGAGTATTATAAAACAAATGTCTCCTCTCCCAACCTTTTTCATATGGTGATAGAAAAAAAATATAAATATTTGTTATATTTTTATCATGAAGATGTTAAAATATCTTATGATGCCTAATTAGCTGAATAACTATGATTAAAAGATTAACTATGGTTGATACAGTCCCAAAAAATGCTATGGATGCTTTTTATTTCAAACACATTTTAGATTATACTCCCAATTATTAAAATGGTTATATATATATATTAGCAGCTCTTTAGTAAACTAATGAGAGAACATTCACTTTTTTAAGAAGAATAACAGAGCCTTGCAGAGGTACCATTTGCAGGACCAGGCCCAGATTTTATTTTAAAATTTTTTCCGGCCCGGGTTTTTTTTAAAAAAATTTTCAGGCCCGGCCCGGCTGGCTTAGCCCGAATTTTTTAAAATAAATTATATTTATTTTTGATATTTATAGCTAATAATGGCGATTTCAAATATTTGGTTTTAAAATATACAACTCGGCTCGGATATTTTTTCTTAAAAAATTTTCAAGCCCAGCCCGGGTGTTTTTAAAAAAAAAAATTACGAGCCCGGCCCGGGTATATTTAAAAATATTAAAATACGGTCCGGCTCAGGGGCCGGGCCTGCAAGTCTGTGAAAAACATACCTATGAAATACAACATCTGAAAGTAGATTGAATGATTTGGATCTTTTGAATATTCATAGACATTTAACGCCAAGCAAGGATTGATAATTGAAAAATTAGCTCAAAACATACAAAATACAATTATTCCTAAGAAACTTTTTGTGTATTAATTTATATTTACAACATTTAAATTTTTTATACTTTATATATTTTAAAAGCTCAAAAAATTCAAATTTCAATTTTGGGTCATTTAGGTGATTCATATCGTGGGTTATATTCACTTTATATTTTATGATTCACATTTAAATGCCGGTTTATATATATAATTTTTTTAATTCACATTAGTTTAAAATTTATTAGAAAAGTTATTAATCCTAATAAATTTATGCTTAGTATTTTTAATTAAAAATATTATTTCCTAAAAAAATTTATTATCCTCCCCCCCCCCAGACCAAATTCCTGCGTACGCGCCTGCACATAGTGTACAAGATAAATAAGAGGCGAATTAAGAAATTTAGAAATATTCAGATCCTTTAGCCATGGCATACTACCCACTAATATTTTTTTAGGAGAAAATATGACATTTTAATATATTATTAGAATGATCTCTAAAAAATATTAGAGGAAATTGATATATGAATCTAAGCGTAATTCGGATCTAGTTACCCGAGCTTCGAATAAGACAAAAGGATTTATGGTATAACTCATTTTCATTTTAAAATTATGACTCAAAATATATATTTTATAAAATGCATTCATAAAACCTGTTATCAAAAAATCGTATGGAGTTAAAGAGGTTCCCAGCATGATAATCAAAACAACTTATGAAATATTTCACTATATTAGTTTTGTAATTTTTTGGAAAATAATGAATGTATTTTTTGTAAATTTATGAATTAAATTAATTATTTATAATAAATATATATATATTTAAAATATAATTGGTCAATAATTATGTTATTTTCCAAAGATATATTTTCATTATAATTTAACATTAACAACCGCAATTCGTAGTTTATTCGTTATAATTTAACATTAAATAAGGCAATTCGAAGTTTAATCATTTTAATTTAACATTAATTACCGCAATTCGTAGTTTAGTCATTATAATTTAACATTAACAACCGCAATTCGTAGTTTAGTCATTATAATTTAACATTATATAACGACAATTCGCAGTTTAGTCATTTTATTTTAACATCATATACTGTTTAGACAATTTAATTTAACATTAAATACGGCAATTCGTAGTTTACTCATTATAATATAACATTAACAACCGCAATTCGTAGTTTAGTCATTATAATTAAACATTTAATACGACAACTCGCAGTTTAGTCATTTTAATTTAACATCATATACGGCAATTCGCAGTTTAGTTATTTTAAATTAACATCATATACTGTTTAGACAATTTAATTTAACATTATACGGCAATTCTTAGTTTACTTTAATTTAACATTAACAACCGCAATTCGTAGTTTACTCATTTTAATTTAACATTAAATATGGCAATTCGCATTTTAATCATTTTAAATTAACATCATATACTGTTTAGACAATTTAATTTAACATTAATTACGGCAATTCGTAGTTTAGTCATTTTAATTTAACATTATATAACGGCAATTCGCAGTAAAGTCATTTTATTTTAACATCATATACTGTTTAGACAATTTAATTTAACATTAACAACCGCAATTCGTAGTTTAGTCATTATAATTTAACATTAAATCAATGACCAACAGCAATTCGATGTTTAGTCCTTATAATTAAACACTAACACCCGCAATTCGTAGTTTAGTAATTTTAATTTAACATTAATTACCGCAATTCGTAGTTTATTCATTATAATTTAACATTAAATATGGCAATTCGTAGTTTAGTCATTTTAATCTTACCTTATATACGGCAATTCGTAGTTTAGTCATTTAAATTTAACATTAAATATGGCAATTCGTAGTTTACTAATTATAATTTAACATTAACAACCTTCGTAGTTTAGTCATTTTAATTTAACATAAAATACGGCAATTCGCAGTTTAGTCATTTTAATTTAACATCATATACGGCAACTCGTAGTTTAGTCATTTTAATTTAACATTATATACGGCAATTCGCAGTTTAGTCATTTTAATTTAACATCATATACTGTATAGAAAATTTAATTTAACATTAATTACGGCAATTCGTAGTTTAGTCATTTTAATTTAACATCATATACTGTTTAGAAAATTTAATTTAACATTAAATTTGGCAATTCGTAGTTTACTCATTATAATTTAACATTAAATACGGCAATTCGCAGTTTAATCATTGTTTAGAAAATTTAATTTAACATTTTATACGGCAATTCGTAGTTTAGTCATTATAATATAACATTAACAACCGTAATTCGTAGTTTAGTAATTTTAATTTAACATTAATTACCGCAATTCGTAGTTTATTGATTATAATTTAACATTAAATATGGCAATTCGTAGTTTAGTCATTTTAATTTTACCTCATATACGGCAATTGGTAGTTTAGTCATTTTAATTTAACATTAAATATGGCAATACGTAGTTTAATGATTATAATTTAACATTAACAACCGCAATTCGTAGTTTAGTCATTTTAATTTAACATAAAATACGGCAATTCGTAGTTTAGTCATTTTAATTTAACATAAAATACGGCAATTCGCAGTTTAGTCATTTTAATTTAACATCATATACGGCAATTCGTAGTTTAGTCATGTTAATTTTACCTTATATAGGGCAATTCGTAGTTTAGTCATTTTAATTTAACATTAAATATGGCAATTCGTAGTTTACTAATTATAATTTAACATTCACAACCTTCGTAGTTTAGTCATTTTAATTTAACATAAAATACGGCAATTCGAGTCATTTTAATTTAACATCATATACGGCAATACGTAGTTTAGTCATTTTAATTTAACATTATTTACGGCAATTCGCAGTTTAGTCATTTTATTTTAACATTAAATACCGCAATTCGTAGTTTAGTAATTTTAATTTAACATTAAATATGGCAATTCGTAGTTTACTAATTATAATTTAACATTAACAACCTTCGTAGTTTAGTCATTTTAATTTAACATAAAATACGGCAATTCGCAGTTTAGTCATTTTAATTTAACATCATATACGGCAATTCGTAGTTTAGTCATTTTAATTTAACATTATTTACGGCAATTCGCAGTTTAGTCATTTTATTTTAACATTATTTACGGCAATTCGCAGTTTAGTCATTTTATTTTAACATTAAATACCGCAATTCGCAGTTTAGTCATTTTAATTTAACATTAAATATGGCAATTCGTAGTTTACTAATTATAATTTAACATTAACAACCTTCGTAGTTTAGTCATTTTAATTTAACATAAAATACGGCAATTCGCAGTTTAGTCATTTTAATTTAACATCATATACGGCAATTCGTAGTTTAGTCATTTTAATTTAACATTATTTACGGCAATTCGCAGTTTAGTCATTTTATTTTAACATTAAATACCGCAATTCGTAGTTTAGTCATTTTAATTTAACATTAAATATGGCAATTCGTAGTTTACTGATTATAATTTAACCAATGATATATATAACTATAGATTGGCGATTCATTCATTCAATGCATTATAAAAGTGTCCACACATTGTAATCAGCTGTAGCGCCATTTTGTAGTTTGGTTATCCATTATTTGTCAGCAAGAAATATTAATATATAGAAAACAAGTCTAGTTTTAAAGGTGATTTATGATATAATATTTTATAGTATCTTTTATTCTTAAATTTTCATAAGACTTTTTTTTATGAAGGTGGAGTAGGTGATTATATTTAAAAAATGAATCTAAGACTAACCCACCTTTTAATTTTTTAAAATATAGTTTAACCTAATCCTGCATGGACTTATAAATCTTATGTTAATGCATCTTAGGATACATGCAAAACAGATCTTATAATATCACTATCATTTATTATTTAATTAGATAATGGGAGTGTGCTGTGTTCATAATTGTAATAAAACATATAAAATAGAATCTAATACACATATTTCTTATCATAAGTATATATATTATTTTTTATATGCAACATATTTATTACATAAAGCATTAATAAGCTACAAACATTGAAAAAAAATCCTTATTTAGTAAAAATATAGAGTTTTCTCATTTTTATTGCTAGGACAAATAATGCTTCTTCCTATTGAGTTGATAAGATTTCTATTTTGAACTTTGCCTAAATATTTTTCTGGATAAAATATTAAGTTAGCCATTTTAAAATACATATTTACTATGATACAGTTTCATTTTAAATATTTGTAAGAAATATGTAAACCATATATATATTAATAGAGGCTCTGCCAATCAACAAATTTTCACTGATTCAATACTATATTACTAATAACCGATCTGATATTTATATTGATTTTTATATACTATCTATCTTTGTATCAATGTCATAAATATATCTTATATTTTACTCATTATTATTCACCTATTTTTAAATATAGATTTCCATTAAAATCCAAAGAATTATTGGAAAAATGGTTACAGGCTATAAATAGAAAAAATTTTATGCCTAATAAATGTAGTATAATGGGGGTTTAGTGATTCCTTCATCTAGTATGTCTATATTATGCCGAATTTGTGAAAGTTCATTTAGAACTTATCAAAATGATATTAAACGTAAAAATATTATTAAAAAAATGGAAGTGTTGGTTTTTTCCACAATAATTGGTACAAATATTTTTATTGATCTTACTGAACAACATGAGATTGGTTACAGCCATTTTCAAATTCTTGTAAAATTAATTGTTCAAAGGTAATCATTTATTAGTTTTAATACTATTTTTTTTAAAGATATTTAAATATTAGATTTTTCCATTTTGCTGACTTGAGAAACCAGGAATTGAGAACTGGTATGAGGCAAAATCTTACAAAAGCAATACAATTTAATAATCAATAAGTCATGTAAATTAATATTTATATCTCTTTTATTTTTTAAAAATTATATTGTATAAAGAACAGGCCTTATATAAGATATATTATAAAAATTATGATATTATATATAATCTATGCTAATGTAAATATATTTTATTTTTTATAGGTGATGATAGAATCAAAAAGGATGAATGTTTATAATCAAAGATAATATGAATGTGAATCATCATATTGTTAAAAATACATTTTGTTTTTTTAAAGTGTACACATTTATATTTTTATATATTTATTGTATAAACCTTATTTAAATGATTTATATAATAATTTATACCCATGCAAAAAATGTTATTATTACACTATGTTTTTATTGAAAAAAAAATAAAAGATGTTTTCATTTGTCATTTATAATTAAGATGAAATAATTAAAACAAAAAAAAATTATAAATGATTATTACAATAAAAATTAAGTGAGATGAGCTCTCAACCCATCTTTTAAGATGGTTTAACTTATTTCATCTAGAACACATAATCCAAAATAATTTTTAATTGACAGGATATTTTTTTATAAAATCTTATTTTCTTAACGTAATTAATTGATCTTCATCTACTTTTAGAGTATATCTTTGGTTCATCCTTTATAATAAAATTAATAATACAAAATAAAAATAAGTTAAAAAAGTAAGAAAAAAATTAACACTGATTTCTCTTATTAGTAAAACAAAATTTGTAGATTTTATTTAATTATATCTATACAGATCTCTTTTTTTATATAAATTTTGATTATTATTTTAAGGTATAAATTACTTAACTAAAATTAAAAGTACCAGCAACTACAATAAATATCGATGCATCATTTTTATTTATTAATAAAATATGAATCATAAAATATTATTATATTTAATAATAAGGATTCCATAAATGAACAATAAGTGGATAGTAAGATTTTTTTTGAAACATCAAGTAAATTTGATAAAATTATAAAAACTAATTTTATAAGAAAAATTAACAAATATATATAAAAAAATAAATGATTTTGATATATGCAATTAATATGTATAAAATAAATTAGATTTTCTAATAAATAATTGGGGGGTTAATAATTGAGGAATGTTTAAAAATAAATTTATTTTTATAATAATATTAATCAAGTAGATAAATTAACTTAAAACTGATTGAAAGAAGTATTTTCTTGATTGAGTCATGTGATAAGTTTTTTTGGCAATTAAATATAGGCAGTGGACTTTATTTGGTTGAATATTTGAGGGTGTATTAGATATAAGTATGGAATATTTTGTATGGGTATAATTTTGGTGATTTTTGTTTCAGTGATATTGTAGCAATCTATGTTTCTGAATAATTTCTGGGTGAAAGTAATTTAATGATATTATATACTACTATTGGATTAAATGTTGAGTTTTTTTATTTTATAGAATACCAATGTAATTTAATTGAAGATCAGTTGAGGTTAGGATTCATTCGATTATTTTACATAATTACATTATTAACAAATTATTAGATATAAAATTGTTAAATTTTTAAAAATTAGTATTATTATTGAGGCATTTGATCAACGTACAAGCTACAAAATGGCGCTACAGCTGATTTCAATAGGTGGACGTTTTTTTATGCATGATCGCCAATCTATAGTTATATATATCATTGAATTTAACATTAACAACCGCAATTCGTAGTTTAGTCATTTTTATTTAACATAAAATACGGAAATTCGCAGTTTAATCATTTTAATTTAACATCATATACTGTTTAGAAAATTTAATTTAACATTAATTACGGCAATTCGTAGTTTAGTCATTTTAGGTTAACATTATATACGGCAATTCGCAGTTTAGTCATTTTAATTTAACATGATAAACTGTTTAGAAAATTTAATTTAACATTAAATTTGGCAATTCGTAGTTTAGTCATTATATAATTAAACATTAAATATGGCAATTCGCAGTTTAGTCATTGTTTAGAAAATTTAATTTAACATTTTATACAGCAATTCGTAGTTTAGTCATTATATTATAACATTAACAACAGCAATTCGATGTTTAGTCCTTATAATTAAACAATAACACCCGCAATTCGTAGTTTAGTAATTTTAATTTAACATTAATTACCGCAATTCGTAGTTTATACATTATAATTTAACATTAAATATGGCAATTCGTAGTTTAGTCATTTTAATCTTACCTTATATACGGCAATTCGCAGTTTAGTCATTTTAATTTAACATTAAATATGGCAATTCGTAGTTTACTAATTATAATTTAACATTAACAACCTTCGTAGTTTAGTCATTTTAATTTAACATAAAATACGGCAATTCGCAGTTTAGTCATTTTAATTTAACATCATATACGGCAATTCGTAGTTTAGTCATTTTAATTTAACAATATTTACGGCAATTCGCAGTTTAGTCATTTTAATTTAACATCATATACTGTATAGAAAATTTAATTTAACATTAATTACAACAATTCGTAGTTTAGTCATTTTAATTTAACATCATATACTGTTTAGAAAATTTAATTTAACATTAAATTTGGCAATTCGTAGTTTACTCATTATAATTTAACATTAAATACAACAATTCGCAGTTTAGTCATTGTTTTGAAAATTTAATTTAACATTTTATACGGCAATTCGTAGTTTAGTCATTATAATATAACATTAACAACCGCAATTCGTAGTTTAGTAATTTTAATTTAACATTAATAACCGCAATTCGTAGTTTATTGATTATAATTTAACATTAAATACGGCAATTCGCAGTTTAGTCATTGTTTAGAAAATTTAATTTAACATTTTATACGGCAATTCGTAGTTTAGTCATTATAATATAACATTAACAACCGCAATTCGTAGTTTAGTAATTTTAATTTAACATTAATTACCGCAATTAGTAGTTTATTGATTATAATTTAACATTAAATATGGCAATTCGTAGTTTGTCTTTTAATTTTACCTCATATACGGCAATTGATAGTTTAGTCATTTTAATTTAACATTAAATATGGCAATTCGTAGTTTACTGATTATAATTTAACATTAACAACCGCAATTCGTAGTTTAGTCATTTTAATTTAACATAACATACGGCAATTCGTAGTTTAGTCATTTTAATTTAACATAAAATACGGCAATTCGCAGTTTAGTCATTTTAATTTAACATCATATACGGCAATTCGTAGTTTAGTCATGTTAATTTTACCTTATATACGGCAATTTATTCATTTTATTTAATCATTATATACGGCCGTAGTTTACTAATTTTAATTTATCATTAAATACGGCAATTCGAAGTTTAGTCATTTTATTTTAACATTAAATACCGCAATTCGCAGTTTAGTCATTTTAATTTTACATAAAATACAGTTCGTAGTTTAGTCATTTTAATTTAACATTATATACGACAATTCGCAGTTTAGTCATTTTAATTTAACATGATAAACTGTTTAGGAAATTTAATTTAACATTAAATTTGGAATTCGTAGTTTAGTCATTATAATTAAACATTAAATTCGGCAATTTGCAGTTTAGTCATTGTTTAGAAAATTTAATTTAACATTTTATACAGCAATTCGTAGTTTAGTCATTATAATATAACATTAACAACCGCAATTCTTAGTTTATTCATTTTAATTAAACAATAACACCCGCAATTCGTAGTTTAGTAATTTTAATTTAACATTAATTACCGCAATTCGTAGTTTCTTCATTATAATTTAACATTAAATATGTCAATTCGTAGTTTACTAATTATAAATTAACATTAACAACCGCAATTCGTAGTTTAGTCATTTTAATTTAACATAAATTACGGCAATTCGCAGTTTAGTCATTTTAATTTAACATCATATACGGCAATTCGTAGTTTAGTCATTTTAATTTAACATTAAATACCGCAATTCGTAGTTTATTCATTTTATTTAATCATTATATACGGCCGTAGTTTACTAATTTTAATTTATCATTAAATACGGCAATTCGAAGTTTAGTCATTTTATTTTAACATTAAATACCGCAATTCGCAGTTTAGTCATTTTAATTTTACATAAAATACAGTTCGTAGTTTAGTCATTTTAATTTAACATTATATACGACAATTCGCAGTTTAGTCATTTTAATTTAACATGATAAACTGTTTAGGAAATTTAATTTAACATTAAATTTGGAATTCGTAGTTTAGTCATTATAATTAAACATTAAATTCGGCAATTTGCAGTTTAGTCATTGTTTAGAAAATTTAATTTAACATTTTATACAGCAATTCGTAGTTTAGTCATTATAATATAACATTAACAACCGCAATTCTTAGTTTATTCATTTTAATTAAACAATAACACCCGCAATTCGTAGTTTAGTAATTTTAATTTAACATTAATTACCGCAATTCGTAGTTTCTTCATTATAATTTAACATTAAATATGTCAATTCGTAGTTTACTAATTATAAATTAACATTAACAACCGCAATTCGTAGTTTAGTCATTTTAATTTAACATAAATTACGGCAATTCGCAGTTTAGTCATTTTAATTTAACATCATATACGGCAATTCGTAGTTTAGTCATTTTAATTTAACATTAAATACCGCAATTCGTAGTTTATTCATTTTATTAAATCATTATATACGGCAATTCGTAGTTTACTAATTTTAATTTATCATTGAATACAGCAATTCGCAGTTTAGTCATTTTATAACATTAAATACGGCAATTCGCAGTTTAGTCATTTTAATTTTACATAAAATACGGCAATTCGTAGTTTATTCTATTTAATATAACATTATATACAATTCGTAGTTTAGTCATCCAATTTTCCATGATTTTATCTAAATTTAACATTAATTTATGCAATTCGTAGTTTAGTCATGGCAATTCGCAATTTACCTGGCAATTCGTAGTTTATAGCAATTCGTTCTTTAGTCTAGCCCATCAGAAATAATAAATATATTTAATTTTAATTATTAATCTTATTTCAAAAAGGCAATGATGGAGAAGATAGATGTGAAGCCATGCTCTTCGTTGCTTAGATTACAGAATAATTTTTCAGTTAATTCAGCAGTAAATGAATTGAGCCTTATCAGTTTATATTACAATTTATCAACTAAATGTAATGTTTATTTTTTAGTTGGGGAGGAAGACCTTTTTCAAAGGTTGTTAAAATCATTTCAGGGGCATCTTTTAGAAGATTATTTGCCTAGAAAAGTTATTGGGGATGGCAATTGTTTTTATCGTTGCTTGTCTCTAGCAATTTTTGGTCATGAGGAGGAACATCTCTACACGAGACCTTGACAGCAATTGAAATAATAATTAATAGAAAGTATTATGATATAGATGATAAATTTTA